AACATCAATTTGTGTGTGAAAACAGCACTGGTTCAAATTTGAATTATAATCTACAGTTTGATACTAAACTTATTTACATAAATTCATGAAATAGTAGTTCAATATAATTTTGAATGCGAGTCAATAAAAGAAACGACATGGCCTTTCACCCGTGACTCGTCTCGAAAGGGTTAACAGTTAAATTTGTCTTGAGCCTAATTCTCTCAAGCTATAAATGTTACAGGCTTTGGAACTCTCACTTAGGATTACTACATTTTTCAGAGCATTACTTCCAATTGTCTAAAAATGATTCTACATGTAGTTATACTTTTTTCTATCAAAATTAGCCTCAAAAGTATAACCTGATATTTCAACCAACAATGTATGTAATATATAATACAACATGTGTGTAGGTCTAATGCACATATGTAGTTCTCATCCGCTTTATCTTCACCTCTGAGCCAAATGTCTGATATCCTACGCTGCCTACTATGACTAAGCAGTTTAAGCCTTAAATGAATTTAATACTTGCATCCAGTCTGTTAAGCAATTTAATTAGAGAAAACTTTTCAGTTAACATGAGTATGTTCAAAATGTCCTTTTTCTTCTTCTTTTAACATTTGAGTTTTTATTCAAAGCTTGTTTAATTTCAACATTTTAAATCACCTTCAGTAACTCCTTTTAATGGGTTTTAATTGCCTAAAAAATTTAACGTTGGATTTAAACTTGCATGAAAATGACTTTTCATGAAAGTAGATCTAGCACACTTTTCACATCAACAGAATGAGTAACACAAAAAATTAAGCTTATGCAATTCACCAGAGTTCATCATCCATCGTGTAATTCCAAGTTATTTTACGATAGTTTTAGAACTTCGAGTAGAATTAAACAATAGATTCAGCAGCTAAATTGTCAGTGTTTAACTTCAAAATACTTTGGAGCTCTGTACAATTCTTTTATTCCATTACAAAAAAACTAGAAGTGATTTCACACTTCATAAATTTTATACAAGTTATTAACTTCTGCAAAATATTTTCATATGCAACTTTTTTTTAAATAAAACTAAATTTTCTCTTTGTTATGACACAAAAACACTGCACACGGTTTTACTACACATATTTATGATTAATGACACACAAAATATAAAATAAAAATTTAACCATATCAAAATTATAAGCAAACCATATTAATCAGGTTTTATTTAAATATGTAACAATTTAAAACTAGTTTTATACATTGTTGTTTTTTTAATTTTTTCAGTAATTTTCGATGCTCAATAAAATAGCTACTTAGCCTAGTATGTCTTAAAATAAACTGTAAGCATAGCCTAACAAGCAGCAGCCTTGTCAACATATTGAAATTAGAACAGTTGAATGCAAAATGATTAACTAAGCCTATTTCATCGTTTCATTAAAAAACATTTCCTATCATACTGCATTATCATAATTGAAATGATGTATAAAATGATAAAGATTTCTGCAAGCCTTACCAAGAAAAAAGACTATTACTGTAGTTTTTCACAAGCAAATTTTCTTATAGCAACAATATAGGCAATTTCCCAAATTAGCTTATACAGTTGAAAAAGAGCTTTCACCGTGTTTAGATCACTAGCCTATGAATTTTCAAAACTGAGATATGGGCAACTTACATCGCACTATGGTAACCAAAGTTAAGAAACAGTGACTGGCTAAAATCAGTAATAATAAATCTATACTGAAGTTACAAGGTTCAAATGAGTATTATTTTATTTAAAATAATTTTGGCTTTCCTCCTGTTTTGAGCATACTGAAATCAATCAAAACTATAAATTTACATTAAAAATTATGCATAAAATTAAATCAAAAAATTTTTAACTGAAGTAATTTTTTTAAATGTATGGAAAAATGACTACAAGTAAATTTTTTTATAATTTATTTAATTGAATAGTGCAATTTGCCTTCAAGACATGATACACACATTCAGGCATGACAGATGTCATTAAGTCCCCAACTACCGCTACCAATAACTTACCAAAAGTTCCTCAAACAAAAGACAAATGTTTATTTCTTATTATTTAACTTGTAGGACTTTGTTAGTTATTAATAAATACAGAACTTTAATTAAATTTCAAGTAACCATATTACATTCTTCATAACTTGCAGTAAGTTATGGTATTCTATTTCAGAGTTTAACCGTCATATTACTACCAAAAGACTTGAAAGATAAAACACGTCTTCTTGCTCTCAATAAATTTGCATATTTTCTTTCAACTAAAAACAAAAAGTTAGGTACAATGCAAAAAATAACCACATTCTTTTAACATTGTGAAGTCACCTAAAAACTTACCGTTTTACTTATGTTTTGTGCTAAGATTTGTTTGTTTGTTTTTTAAAAAAAATTGTTTTTCAAGTTTGTTGGGAAGGGGGGGAATTTATTGAACAAATATCATCATTACTAAAACTAATTTAGTTTGTAATTGAGATAATTCTGAAAGTAGAAAAAAAATGTTATAATACCTTATAAATTAATCTTAGCTTTTTACTTGTATTTGTTTAAAGTAATAAATAAGAATACAAAACATGCTTAGCAAAACCTTAATGTAGGCCTTAAAATGTTCTCAAGGTAAAATGTTTCAACTAAACTTAGGCTACCTATCCTGCATTTTGCTGTCTTCAGTCACCCTAACTCAAATTTAACTATTACATTAGCCTAACTTTTATTTAAGCTCTGAACACAGTACAATAGCATAGAAATACTGTATAACTGTTTCAGATGTATTAACATTCAAACAAACATATCCAGGAATTGACTAAAAACTTCTCGAATGTTGCAAACAGCGTACTTCACAAATTTAGTGAATTCCAACTTAGGTAGGCTTAACTTTAACTATTGTGAAATTCGAATTCATCCAAATAAAAAAAAGACTGTACAGAAAATATGATTTTACCTCGGTCCGTCCGTATGTATTCTGTTTTATGAAAGGATGATAAAAAGTTTTCAACTGTACTGGGGACGGATGGCTACAGATTTACCACTTCTTTTCCAAATATCCAAACCCCAAGACCCGCTCCAAAATGGCGGACAATAAGAAGCTTTTCCTTTAACACCGTTTAATAACCTAAAGATGACGTCATTCCAATTCTTCCCAGAATTCCTCTAAACTACGCAGTTGTGAACGTATGCTGCAGCAGAGACGAGTGTAAATCTGAAAAGCTTTTTACGAAGATCAGTCTATAAATTCGGATACGTTCAAGTTATCACAACAAAACTACAAAAAAAAAAAATAAAGCACTTTGTAGGAAACTGTTTCTCTTTTTAATTATATATAATAAATCACTTCTTTTTTATGTATTTTACTGTTTGTTTTTTTTTGTACTACGGAGCACAAAGTTGAAAGTCTCCCATTTTTTAATGTTTTTTTTTCTCTTTAGGGCTCTTGTTATAAATGACTCAAATTTATTTAATTTTAACACTTTAAATGATAACATCTAACTTAAAGACACTTCACTAGCAGCACTATTTAATGAATATCATATAAAAATTGTTTTACACTGCCTAATTAAGTAATATAAAATGAACTTTAAGGAATGTTCACTGACACAATATATTTGTATTGAAAATATATATATCGTACACCAAATATTTTAGACTATTAATCTTTCGAACTTGAAAGTGGCGCATTATTTAATTCATTTTTTAAAGTTATTGCCCCGGGAAACGTTATGGCCAACTCTCTCCCTACAAAACATATAGTAACAATATCCTATATTGTTTTGTTTTTATGTTTACAAACGTGAACATGATGCTATGTCAGCAAGAGACTGTTTACATATGAGGTATTCTCAAGTACAAATGGAGTGATAAAGCAAACTTCAATTCCTATACAGAAGATTGAGAATGACTTGCTTTCAACAAAATAATTCGAGAATAAACAGCAAAAGAAGTGAAAACGAAACAAAATAAAATCTATGACAAAGAATATACAAATTTATTAACACACACTGAAGGGTTGATGTCTTTGCTCAACATCTTAAATACCGCATTTTACTTACTGGTTGGCTTGTGCATAATGCGAACTTTTCTTACTGAAAGAGATTAGCTTCATTGAATCAAAGAGAACAAGAGTGTGTCTATGCCACACTTTCAAGTCAGACCAAAACCTAGTGCAGTATCTCACAAATTTTGATTACCTAAGAGAGAAGGCGATACAGGCGCACGATCAAGCGAGTATAAGCTCTCTAGAATGACCACTGTAGCGTATAAGTGTAGCCTGAGGCGAGAATTAAAGCAAACTTTTATATCTTGTTCACAAGGATGTAAATAACTGCATAAAAAGTATATAGAAATTTTGAAAAAAATCCCGAATATACCTGATAAAATATATATTATTCTTTAGATATAGACAGTTAAATCTGGCAGTTTTCAGCTGCCACTTATATGAGCATCAGAAGTGCAAAATTCATAGAAAAAGTATCAACTTTTATATTCGTAGACATTGTCTAGTTTATGCATATAGAAATAGCCAACGAAACACAATACATTATCGCAATCGTGCTGACTACCCTGTGTACTGTCCTTGTTAGCCACAACTCCAATATCTGGTGACAAAAACTTAGTTTTTCTTTTCAGTTGTAAATACTTTTTAATACTTATTTATGATAAATGTGCACAACCTTATATTTGCGCAGCAGTAGAAAATCTGATAATAGGTGTTTATCTGCACCATCATTTAAGTATTATGGATATTTGAAACAGGTAAGCCTGCCTGTGTTAAAGGGATTGAAACAGAATAGGTAAAACAGGCACAATTAAGATGGTAAGACCAATAACTCAAAGGAAGTGACATATCTCGCCTTCCAAACTATTAAGTGACATTTTCACTATAGAATACTGTTGCGTCAGCGAGGTCACGTGACCAG